TTTTACTAATTATCTCTGACCTATCGTTATATCGAGTTTTGACTGTACTATTAATGTTTTGAGAAAGTTTATCGTAAAATACCCGGGTACTATATGTAGTAAGTTTTATAGTGAGGTGTTCAAGATGTGCGTTAAACACGTCATAATTATGATGATTATACACAAACGAAAAAAATCGTTTGTCTTGAATGTGTCTTAGAAAAATAATCATGTTGTTCCAAACAATGTTTTTCTTTATGGACGATCAAGAATTGCAATACACTTTTTATGCAATAGCTTATTATTTTTTGTTTTTTTAACTCACAAAACTTTTTCATTCTCACTTATTTTATTATTATTGTTTTTAGGTTCGATTGTTTGTGGTTCATCCTGCATTTTGTTTCACTTGTGACTGGTCATTGGTGAGTCAACTCGCTTGTCAAATAAATCTTTTTTGTCGCTCTAATTTTTTCATTATTTTGGGAAACAATGATTTTTTGCCACACATAAGGCATTGTCGGATTTTTATTTTAATAATGGAACCCGTGTATAGAATAAAAGGAATAGTTCAGTAAATCATTATTATCAGGTGATTTAAGAACAAGAACCGTGATAATTATCTTTAGAACAGCTGTTACGCAAAAACTCCTTAGAAAATGATATTGTTGTTTTGTAAATTACGTAATCTAGTTAAGTTTATCAATAAATCAAAAACCAACCAGTTCTATTTCTTTTTTGATTGTCGATAAAGTTTAACTCTAAATTTCAGTCTCATTATCCACCATTATTGGAAAGTAGCTTTTACAGGTTATTCCGGCAAACTTTCTCGGTTAACTATTGTTGGTCTGTTGGTACGTTGCACAAGATTTTTTCCGTTGTTAGCATGTTCATAATTGACATTCTATTACTCAGCCCAACCAAAATGAGAAAGTTTCCAAATTTGATTTGATTAATTCAGTAACAACTCAACTAATATTTATAGTTTCGCATGATCACAAGTATTTAAAAACTGATTTATCGTGAAAGTATCAAGTTGTTTTAACGTTGCTTCTCCTTGTTTTTGTTATCCGATTCTAAAATAAAAGGTAATCAGCATCTGTTTAATACGATTAACGGAAACAATGTAGACAAAATTTTCGAGCATCATCTCATAAAGGTTCAGAGTTTGAGGCTTCGGCTGGAGTAAGAGCTGGAAAAGGCGGTTTAACCCGAAACCCTTTCTCCAATACAACATTTTCCCGACAACCATTTCACCGACCACCCATATCCCCGACATGACATACAGTGGCTGCCAAAAGTTATGCATCACGAAAAGTTTTACGCAAAAAAATCCCAGCACCCTCAGCATCAATTCAAAGCCCATAGCTTCTATTGAGAGATCTACATGATTTTTTAATTAGTGAAATTTTGTCATCAAATATTTTCCTTTCAAGGCAAATCCCGGAAAAATCCGACTAATAAAAAATGTTCTCTATGAAAACTACCTCCATGCCAGTTTTCAGGCGTTAGCTATCGTGATACAAGTTTCCAAATGTCAACGTTACACATGTAAAAAATGGTTGAATTAATTCACTAATGGAAATTTCAATATTCGGGAGCTTATGTCACAATAGCCAACGTGACCAATTTGGCTGAAAACCGGCATGTAGGTAGTTTCATGAGAACATTTTTTATTAGTCGGATTTTTCCGGAATTTGCCTTGAAAGAAAAATGTTTGATGTCAAAATTTCATTAATTAAAAAAATCGTGTATATTTCTCAATAGAAGCTATGGGCTTTGAATTGGTGCTGAGGGTGCTAGAATTTTTTTGTGTAAAACTTTTCATGATGCACAACTTTTGGCAGCCACTTATTCCTAATTATAATATAATCTTAACTCTAATTATAACCCTAACCTTTAAAATTTCATGTTAATTACATGCAAAGTAAGAGATGCAGAATTTGCAGTAAATCCTGTGATTTGTGACCTGCCCAATAAAAATACTTAATACATGTATACAAAATCGATGATGGACAAATTTAACAGTTTTTTTGAAAAATTGATCGTCATTGATTTTGTGTGCTCGCATATGGAGTATTACTGCGCAAAAACGCAGTAAACTGGGATGGAGTCAGTAGAAAAGGGACAAATTACTCTAATAGATTTGTCCCTTTTCTACTGACTCAACTCCAACTGGACACGCTAATTCAAAGTCAACCAGTTAATAAATTATGTTATAATATCCTATCATGTCAGGGAAACATCTTGTCGGTTAATTTTCTTTTCGGAGAAACATACTGTCGGATAAATATCCCTTCTGGGAAATGTTTTGTCGAGCAAATCTTCATTCGAGAAAACGGGGTCGGGTAAATTTACTGTCGGGGATAATGGGTGTCGGAGAATCAGGTGCATTTCTATGATTTTTCCAGACTCAATAATGAGGGATTTCCGATTCCGCGAAATTTACTAAGTCAACGAGTCTTTGCTCATTAAGAAAAAATGCCCAGCTTAAAGAATTGTATTAAAAACTATATATAAATTAAAAACTGTAAAAAGCAAATTGAAATAACGTTACTAGTAATAGATGTAATTATTTGGACATGTCAAATGGCATTCAAGCCTGGAAGTAGAATGTATCATGTGTTGATTTTTTAAGTGTAGTTGTTCTTTAAAAACTGCTCTTTTCTTTAAAAAACTAACCGTCATTACTTTTCGTAGGGACTGTAGGTATAAGTACATCCCTTGGAGGATTTCCAGTTGACCTGGAAAAAATTTTCGGCTGATAATGGTCTCGAACTCAGAAAAATAGCGGTCGGGTAACGTGTGACCATGATTCGTAACGGATGCAGGAGTTATAAATAAATGCAGTAAACTTTAAACTTGTATCATAAAAGTATCTCTGTGATCATGATGGTTCGAGCCAAGGGTATTGCTAATAGATAAATGAACGGGCAAATAACTTCCAGTCTTTTCTATTATACCAATTCATCCAGAGATATCTCCATAACCCGGGAATACTACAGCTATGACAAAACTGGTACATTTCTTCTACACAATGATGATAAATCTGTACTGAATTCCAGAAAGTGTTCTTTATTGAAACTAATAGATGCATATTTGCATGATATTTAATCTTATTCAAGACTTCTTTGATCTCATCATCTGAGCATAAATTTCCAATTCTGCCATTTAGGATCCATGATGGATCAATGGAAACTCTAATACTTTTTTCTTTGAATAATTGCTTATTTTTGGCTTTTTATCTTTCAAGCGTCTACTAATAGCATTTTTTAAATGCCAGTAGCATAATTGTATATTTGTTATCCATGACTAGGCTTTACTAATAACTGATATTTCTCTTGCATCTTTGTCTAATAATACAAATACTAATATCAATTGTTCTCAATGAAGATTAATAAAGAATTTACAAAGAACTTGTACATGGATACTTATTTCATTTTTTGCATTATAATAGATTGCTTTCAAACTATCAGTCTTTAAAAAGTATAGGTATGCTATCAATATACTATCTATCACAATTTGCATTCACGACAAAGAGCTCAAAAACATTTTTAATTCATTTTAAATATAGAATTTATGATAATTTCAGTTATATTTTTCATTCTGATTTGATTAATTAATAAAATCAAAAAATTCAAAACATGTACAAAATCATTTTCAAGATAACAAAGAACTTTAAAATTTATAATAGTGAATCTGGATTGTTCAAGATATGTTTTAAATAATAGAAACTAATTGATTGAATTTATAATATATATTTATTTGCTATAAATAGAAATTCAATAATATATTTGTTCTTTTATATATATTTCTGGATATATTTTTGTACTCTATAAGTTATTTTTGTGATTTTCTTGAATTTATTTTTTTCTTTTCTGGAAACTTCACATAATAGTATAATAAATATTTATGTGAATATAAGTGTTTATCTTGAATATTCATTAGTTATAGTTATAAATTTATAATAACTGTAATTTTGTCTTCATAGAGAAATCATTATATAATAGTATAAGCTTTGCTTTATCTTTTGATTGGTTGATTATTTGATCTTTGTTAGTTTTGATTATTTTATAATGAATATTGAAGATACACTATAGCACATCTATTAATTTTTTTTAAAATTTAAACAGAATTTTTGTATCTTTTAATAATATCTGAATTCAGATTCAAATGACAAAATAATAATTTTAATAAGTTAAATAAAACTATGCTTGATTTTTTTCAAATTAAATAAATTAAACTCTGAATTTTGTTTAAGTAAGATAGTTTTCAAAAGTTAAAAATTTAATTCAACTTCAAATATGAATTTTGTAGACTCTTCAGATGATTTAGTCTTTTGAAATTATATGATAATATATCTTTTAACTTTATCCATATTATATAAAAATATATTAGCATTATTATTATATTTATTACTTGATATATTACTAGTAGCATTTTCTTTCATAGATTCTATTACTAGTTTAAGATCTTTAAGATCATTATTAATCTAAAAAATACTGCTAGAGATTGAAAAAGATGAAGTATTGATAGTTGACATTATTACATTAAGATTAGTTTCTTGCTTTGTCTTCTTTCTTGAAACTGGATCTGCTTTTTGTCTCTTTTTCTTACATTTTTCATAATATAGATTGCAGATTGCATGCACATATTATTGATTATCATAGCAAAGCAAACAAAAATCTTTATTTTCATACAATGACAATCAGTATACACTATTAAGAGTAAATAATTTTTCATATATAGAATGTTTAGCAATTTAGTCAGTTTAATTTATTTATTAATCTACATATAATATTTTTAGATGACCTATTTTCATTTAATTTATATTGTTATATATCAGAATTATTGATTTATACAATGTTTTTATAATATATCAATTATTAAAAAAACTATTAATAAAAAGCAATTTCAAAGAGGACAACGCGTTTGCATTAAAGATTTCGCGTCTCATTAATTGTCAAACCACCCTTGCAGTTCTCGCAGCCCGATTATAGTAAGATAGACTTTCCGCATCTCAATTATTCAACCATCCAGCTCGTTGAACCACCCTTGTAACTCTCCAACTTGCATGATCGATTTCCAATGGTAGGTTGTGCGTCTGGCGTAATAAGAATATCGATAAAGTATAATAATAAAACAATAATAGTTTGATTATGTTAAGACTTGAAATATATCATTAAACTCTATGTTCGCTCCACATCCTAATGCAAGATGTCTATTCCATTTCATCTTGTACCATTGAATTGCAGTAATAATATTTCCCGCGGGTAAATGGCCAAGATATGGAGCACAAGAAGGACAAGCCGTTTTGAGTGTTGCCGCCACCGAACCGACGCCTGGATTTGAATTTGCTGGAAGGGCGGTTTCAGTAGCCGGAACAACGATGATTACAAATTCTGTGGTCGGGCAGTGGTGTTGAACGCGTGCGAATTTATTTATGGCATTATCACGATCCCCAGAATTATCATAGGTCACCTATAATATTTTAGTCGATTGTCAAGAAATAGTTGCATAGTTCTGAAGATAAGGGAATAAGATCTTCACCTCGATCCACAGCAACGGTGGTGGAGTTAGATTAATTATAGGTTTAAGCCTTTGATTACGTGTTGGTTTAGGATTCCAACCACCCACATCAGGTCGATATTGATTGCCGTTAACCACACATATTGCGTCAATCGAGTGTTGGCTTAATTCAAAATAATGTTTCAAAAAAATGGAATACATTATTAATACCTTGGATTCTGTATTATCTTGAAACAAGTTAACTAACTTTTTTAGGACGGGACCCAATTTTCTTCGTAATATATGTTCTAAGAATACGTAAAGTTCCCTTTATAAGACTTTCGGATAAATATTTACTTCATGCTTTTTAAACAAGAATAAAATAGTACCTTTACTACTTTGACTACTGACTCCACGAATCCCAAAACTATTCTCTATTCCTGAAAATGTGGTTGCCATTGTACTGCGAAAAATTAAATTGTAAGCAGACTTTTATGGCCTATTATTGTACTAGTAATAAATTTGACTCTAGTTTGACATCATCGGATCAGACGAGTTTATTATTAACAATTGCGCTACGAAAAATTATAATTGTAAGCAGACTAATAATAAATTTGACTCTAGTAAGTAGAGTTTATTATAACATCATCAGATCATACGAGTTTATTATTATCGGGTATGATGTGTTATCTTAACTTGATTTTTAATTCGTGCAAATATATTGAACGTTTACCTGCAATTTAGAAATTAAATATATTATAAATTATTTGATTATAGGTCGAAAATTTTAAATGCCTGATTAACGAAACCCTTGATTTTTGAATCCTTTCAGGAACAACTATTTCCGGTTTTTCATCATACCATACCTCAAGTAGGAAAATTCCGTTATCTTGACACAGGGCTCTTTTTTTTCCGATCACGGTTAACAATATCCTCAAGTTTTTTAACATCTTTATACCAGCTAGTGTGATGAAGCCGATGTTGAGCTCCTTGCACCTCTAACGCGATTTGATTACTTCGGAAGAATGCATCAAGTTCTAATCCTTCCATAAAAGATGGACGATATTCAACTACGGGTTCCTCATTAAGAAGTATCTGGACTATTAGAATACATTTTTCCTGAAATTTGCGATTTTTCTTAGATTCTATTTCTTTTTTAAGTTCGTCTATAAGATACCTTTGATTTTTATTCTCAGCCTCAAGCTTAATAATTTTGGATATACAATCATCACGCTCGACCCAAAGTTTACGCTTTCCATCAAAAGTACGTTTAAGTGTATTTTGTAGCTCTTCTATAAATTTATCAGTCTCTTTATCTCCAAATGATTTAGGTTCAAGAATTCTAATAGGGATAAAGGGAGTAGGTCATAAGTATTAGTCAATTTCTCCGATTGGGGGCACATCGGTGATGCTGACTGCGAAATAATAACATCTTGGCTTTGACTCTCAATTTCAATCTCTGACTGCATGTTTATAGTTTATTTTTTATGAATTTAAAATGTATAATCGCATATTGATAGTGGAATATCAAAATCAAAGCTAATTATCGAATGAAGTATTTGCCCGCATTCAGAAAAAAAATATGAATAGTGGAGCTAGTGTCAGAGACACATAAAATACATATCAATAAAAATGTCATTTGCCCGAATACTGGGTTTTATTTTTTTGCGGTGGAAATGTAAACTATACATTAAAGTTAACATGTGCTAATCAGATCATGTAAACGTTCTAGAGATATTTATGGCTTTCTTCTTATTATCCTTTTCATTGGCAAGAATATTTTTTATTTTAGCTTCAAACAAATATATATCTTTATTGTCAGTGATATGAATGCCAAAGAAAATCATAATACCTGCAATAGTTACTACTACTTTTTGATTATTGATAAGTGGATCATATAAATGCAAAATATAATGAGGGGTTCCATTGATATATTCATTGAATTCTTCTATGTCAGTAAGCATAAAAGATATATTTTCTCAATTAGCTAAGGCTTGTTCAAGAATTGAAGTTGATTCATTCTTATTATATTGTTACAAGTTATGATTTCTAAAGAATCTTCACCAGAGTATCAAAATATTTGATCTGTTTTTTCATTTTCTGAAATTTGTGATTGAGGAAAAACTTTGGTCTTTTCAGTAATAGAACATCCCATTGCTTTCTAACTCTGAATTGAAGCTTTCAGATGTGTAAATATCATTGCATTGCTCAAAATTTTCAGAGACTGGTACATCAGATTTAGAGATGAAAACAATAATTTCAAAAGAGAAAACAATGCTTTTAGAGATAAGTATATCATGTGTACTTTGAGTACTTATATTGTTTTATCTATATATTATTCAAGAGAAAAAAGTTTAAAATGAAAATTAATTCTGAAATATAATAATTAATACATATTATCAGATACTGTAAAGTAATTATATTATAATTATATAATGTAAATATAACATTTTATCATTGTTTTTATATTTTTAGAAATAGTGAAGTTTATAATTAAAGTAGCTATTAATATAATACTTATACTAGAAAATATTGAAAAATAGAGCAATATTGTTATGATTTAGATTTTCACTAAATTATAAAGTCATGTGCCATTAAAATCTTATATTCTTATTGGTTATATTTTATTTATATTTTATTGGATATTATTTTTAG